TCCGTACGGAGCTCTACACCAATTGTTCTGTGCCTACACCCATGCGTCTGCTGCTACACCCGATGCGTCTGCCTGCTGACCACTCAGATGTCTGCTGCACCACCCATGCGTCGGCTGCTTACACCCATGTGTACATGCTGCATACAACCCATGCGTCTGAGCTGACACCAAGCAATCTGCATGCTACACCATCGTCTGTGCCTAGCTAACACCATGCGTCTGCTGCTACCACCCATAGCTGTCTGCTACTACACCCATGCCGACCGTCATAGCCTGCACTACACCCATGGTCTGGCCACCCAGCTGGTGGTCCATAGTGACTCACCGCGTGTCCTGACTGCATACCCCTTGCACACGATCTCGGCCTGCATCACCCGTGCGTCTGCCGTACACCCAACAAGGGGTCTTCTGCCCCTCACTCATATGTCTGCTGTTAAACCCAATAGCATATGCCGTGCCTACTACCATGCGTCTGCTGCTACACCCATGCGTCCTGCGCTACAACCCATATGTCTGCTGTTACACACATGAGTCTGCTGCTACACCCAGTAACTCCATGCCGATCCCAGCTGCACACCTTTGTCATGCTGCGGTCTCTCCATGCGTCTGCTGCTACACCCATATGTTCTGCATTCTACCCCAATATGTCTGCTGCGTACACCATGCGTCTGGCGTACACCCATCGCGTCTGCTGCTACACACAGTGCGTCTGCTCTACACCCACTGCCGTCTGCTGCTTACACCCATGCGTCTCTGCTACACCCATTATGTCTGCCTGTTACACCCATCCATCTTGCCTGCTACACCTCATGCGTCTGCTGGCTACACCATGCGTCTCGCTGCTACACCCATGCGTCTGCCCCTGCTACATCCCATTGCGTCTGCTGCTACCACCCGTGCGTCTGCTGCTTACACCCATGCGTCTGCTGCCCCTACGAGCCCATGCGTCTGCCTGCTACACCCATGCGGCTGCCTGCTAACCTCATGCGTCTGCTGCTACACCCGTGCGTTACTGCTGCTACACCCATGCGATCTGCTGCTCGACACCCATGCGTCTGCCTGCCACACCCATATGTCTCTGCTACACCCATGCGACTCCTGCTACACCCAGGGTCTGCTGCTACACCCATGCGCTCTGTGCCTTCCATGCTTTACAGGATCAATCGAATCTGTTTTCGCCCATGTTGCAGCCGGCCACAGCGACCCAGGAGTGCCGCGCGACTGTGCAGGCCTTCATACCCATTACTCCCTGTCGAACGCATTCATA